AAAATATCTATCTGTAAAGAAGCACCAGCGTTAACCCATATGCCACAGTACTGGAAGGTAGTTTGTGTTTGAAGCCAGTTATCAAAATCAACATTACATTAATTAATATTCAATCCAATGTAGAACTGCAATTTACAATCCAAACCAAACTGATCAGGAACAGCAAAATCAGCAACTTAATCACTTTCAATCAAAGAATTTTACTGATTCGCTTCCCACTTCCCATATTCAGCAAATTAAACTTAAAAAATAATTGAAAAAATACTCCAAAGCACACCCAGAAAACCTCCAGTTAAAGCTATGCTTCAAAGCTTTAGGCAATATAGAGTGAAGCTATGATTGTATTAATCTCATAGAAACTCACAAGAAACAAAGTATTTTTAAAAACATTATAATGTGTAAAGATGTTTGAAAGATTTCCCAATCAAAATAGACAAGCCAAGCTAGCTGTTGGTCCTCTCCTCCTTCTCCTCAAACAGGAAGTTTAGATGTCGTCTATTTCACGGAGAATACAGGAAACTTTTTTAAACCACGGCACCCGTGTCTCTTGAAAGGGGTATGCCTTACTCGGTCTGTGGTAGCTACAAACGCTCCTGAGCTGCCGCCCAGGCTGCTAGCAGGGACACTGCAGCAGTGGGGGCCACGGCTGGCTTCATTCAGCTGCTGGCTGAGGGCACTGGAACAGAAACAATCTATAGCCAGGGAGCCAGGACCGGCAGGAGAAACAAGGACACAGATTACCAAATACTGAAGTCCAGCTTTGGGCTGAAGGATGAAAAAGGCAGACGCAGACATGGAGTCTGGGCCCTTGATAGAGGTGAACTGTCCTTCTCCCCAGGATATGGGTAAAGGGTAGTACAAAGTTAAGTCATAGGGTTTTTTTTTTGTAGCAGGTGAAAGCAAAAGGCACACTCTTTGCTAATACATAAGCCCTGTACCATCAGAGTTGTCTAACATGGATACCCAATGCTACTATTATTCATCACAGCTTCAGTAACAGATGAAATAGCACTACACCACCAGATATTGCAGAAGAGATGAAATCTGTTGAAAAAAGGGTGTATGATTGATTGCTTTATTCACACTACCTTAAGGTAACTCTTATTTAATATAAATAATTAGAATGGATAAAAACCCTGCAGTTGTGATTAACAGATGAGTGTCCATGCATCTGTCTCTTCAACTATAGCTAAGTACTGACATTGCAGTTGCACAAAAGAAAAAACAAAACAAAAATCCCAACCTATTTATCAGATTAGTTTTCTTTTAAGTTGGAATACTAAAATGGTTTGATCAACATCAAATCTGGCATAAGGGAGGAACTTGCAATTACAGCAGCAATTAATTGTATCAGCTTAGGATGCCACGTAGTTTCCAATACTCTGGCAAAACCATTTAAAACTAGATTCCCAAATGAATAAAATTTAAGGCAGAAAACAAAAATAAAATCAGGCCTTCCTTATACAAAATAAACATTTAAGAAGATAAGACTACAGAGGGAAGATAAAGTCAGATAAGTTGTCTTAATGTTGGATTCTTAATACATTACTGTGGTTAATCAATCACAGTTGAGCTTTTGGAAAGCATACAAAAAGTGCAATTGAGCAGCCCAGGCTTATTAGGGATTCACCTACAGAAACGACCAGGCTTCTCATCCAAAGACAGAAATTATTACAGATACTTTAACTGAGAAATAATAAAGGTATATACTAGAAATTTATCACAGACAAACATCTTTTAGAGTCTAAAAAACCCCAGATATAATTTAATGCTTTTCTTCTCTACCTTTTTTTGTAGGATTTCAAATAAATCATAACTTCTCCTTTCCGCATTAGCAGCAGTTAAATTATTTCCAGGCAAGCCATAACTAAATGCCTTAATGACTGACAGTCTATATAAAACCACAAATACTATTTTGACTGCAAATTCCTTTGCATCATTACAGTCATCATCTGGCCTCCACATTGAACCGGGATTCAACAAAATACAAGATAATGAGTAACAGGGCTGAAAAATTGCTGAAGGGCTTTTACACACAGAGATTGTTATTATCTATAGAATTATACTGTAAATGAAGGACTTAGATGCTGGTTTTCAAAGTGAATACGACAAAGTAACTAAACTAGTCATCAATAAGTGAAACAATAATTTGAAGAGATTTATTGCTTCAGGGAAGCTTCAAAAACATCCTAAGAAGATGGGACTGCTCCAATTCCAGTGGCTCACAGTCTGCCTAGAGACTATGGTGTAAATTCTACAGAAAAAGCTCTTTGAAGGACTGATGCATAGACTGTGAGAGATGCAGGATTTTGGCTCTTCTAGAGGTACAGAATTAGCAGCCTCAACATAGGATCACATCTAGGATTGTAACAGAGATTACATTATCCTACAGTTCCAAGAGGGATTTAAAAAAAAAAAAAAAAAAAGGTTTTAAAATCATCTGGATTTGATTGATACTATTATATCCCAGTGTACAATGCAAGTCAAATATAAATTATAAAATAAATCAACTGTGAGATTTCCAAATACATTTAACACGAGTTAAAACCTTTGACCTACGCCATCCAGGTTTTGTGTGTAGAATTTTTTTTATAATTTAGAGTTTTACAGCCAGGAACATGACATGTTTCACTGCAAGTGAAAAATGACACAGTTAAAGAGAAACATTAAAACAGAAATAAGCAATTTTATTAACTTTTATGTATGAGTAATTAAAGACATCATTAATAACAAAATTTAACTTAGAAACAGGCGTTCTTAAATTAAAAACTAATTGTGGCATATGTACTTTTTAAAACAAACATCTCTTATGACTTATTTTAGAACAAAGGAAAATTAATAGCCTGAACTGCAAGAGGCACAAAAGAAAAAAAAATGTCGCAAGTCTAGTATTAAGTCACAGCTACCCACAGCTCCATCCACTACCAAAGTTCTGACTAATACAAAGGAAACTGGGAGAAATGGTCAAATAAGCCACCCTCTTTTTTTTTTTTTTTCCCCTTCTTTTTTTTTTTCTTAACAAAGCAGGTCAGGTTTTGGGGTGTTTTTTATTATTCTTTTCAGCATTTGGCCCATTCTTAGCTTGAAAAAACAGCACAAATCCTCAAGAATCCCTTATAAGAGGACACTTGTTAGAGAAGGCCTGAACACTACATCAAAACAAATTCTGCTCAGAATCCAAAGACGTTTATCATGTTGGCCCAATCACAACTTGCTCACACAAAGATTACTGTATCATGTTAAGTACTGATGCAGCTGCAAGATGATTGTTAATTTCAAAAGTTTGGAGATCAAAAAAAGGAAAAACTATTTTAAAAAATAATGCCTTCTAACACCAAAATATTAACATTGCACAGACATTTAGTTTTGTTGTGTTTTAAACATAAATTTGGTCCCTAAACCAAGTTATTATAAAATTTGAGACATTTTATCAAATTTTCAGGTGGCCAAATCATTTAAGTTGCATGTACAAATCAAACACACACACATTGTCCAGAAACAGTAACTAGAAAGCACTAATCTCTTTGGTGTAGCTGAAGTATGCAGAAGCATCTTTCAAATCTTTCAGAGTGAAAATCCTTTTTTTTTTTTTTTCCCCAATGTGGAGATACACCAAAATAGAGCCTATAATGACAGATTTCTGTGATATATTTAAAGCAATCTTTAAAAAAAAAGGAAAAAAGAAGGAAAAAAAAAAATTAAAACCCACAGAAAAAACTACCACCTTATTATTAATTTTTATTTGTGCAGGGTTTTTTTTCTGCCATGTAGAGCTCCTTGAACCAGCCAACAGCGGCAACTGGATGGGCATGTATCCAACTGAAGCAGTAGTTCCAGGAAGCAAGACACCACTTTTAGTGGGAGCTCCATGTTATGTGGACTTTGGTTCATCATAAGAGAGGACACTCTCTCTCCAGTGGATCCCCACGTAACAGGTCAACAACCCCTGGCACCCACAGACATTCCGCATCGGTTGAAAGCTATCTAATACTGTAATGGAAAGTCTGGAAATGCCTTTGTATCACAGTCCTTACACGCTCCTGAGCAGCCTTCCTGTACTTTCTTTGAAGTAGCAAATACTAATCGCAGGTGGCCTTCCTTACAGCATCATTAAAGCAATCTGATTAATGATTACCCCATTTCTACAACAGTGTGTTGTGTTGCTGTGCAGGTAAAATTGCACAGTACACGACAAATTCAACTGAAAAGAACTTAGAGAAAAAACAGAAGTTAGCACATACACACAAAAAGCTACTGACTGAATTTACGCTATAAACGTATACAACTTGCCTCACACCAAGTTTTACCTTTGAAACCTGTAAGTAATTGAATAATAATCACAGTTTCCCATAGGCAGTCCATACTTCAAACAAACTCTCAAATGAAACTTCGCTGTTAAACCAGACAGAGGTTTATGAAAAAATAAATACACTGTTACCTGGACTAGAAATCCGGTCACGATATTTTGGTATATCACTGCTCAGTGTCTGAAGCATAACCCACATTGTGAATGTGAAGAGTGCTGCTAGGAAGCCATAAAATACCAGATAGAATAGAAAAATCAAACCTGTAAAGAAAAAGCTAAAATTACTATTTCAGTTCAGGTAATTTCATTACTGATTTTGAAAATCAAAATGGCAAATAAGCAATCCATTAGAAAAAAAATTAGTTTCACTTGTTTAAGGGAATTAGTTTTTTATCTGGAAAGGAGGAGGTGGTAGGGAAGACAAAAGAACTGAGTGAAAAGATAAAATCATTACATGCGATCCAGAACAAGTAGGAAGCAGTTGGTGGTTTAATAACATAGTTGATATCTGAGAGACCACACAGAGCATTCATTCACACGTATGTCCTCTTACAAGAGACTTCTCAAGGTGACAATGCTTTCCGCTGCCTATTATGGAAAACAAACCAAGGCTTCTATTCAAACTTATCAAGTCTTTGCTTAACACATCCACCTGCTTTACCAGGCTACCTCAGGGACCCAGCAGTGTGCCTGGAATTCACCAATTACACTGATGTTACCAGCTTCAACTTGACACTTGCTTAAGGAAGAGCTCCTCAAAACCTGAGGAAACAGCCTGAAGGGAACAGCTTGTTACACTGCTGTACCTCTCCATCACTTAGCTGCCACAAATCGCTAAGTGAGAACACTACTTAGCAAAACAGCTTGAAAATTCACTGTGATTGTTTTTCCCTGTTCTCTCCACCCCCCCTCATTTTTCATTATGCATGCACAGACATGCATTGGATACACAGATCAGTTGTTTACTGAAAAGACAAGGTAACAGACAGGTCAAAGTTAAAATCTTACTTTAGAGATGACAGGGACTCAGATCAGCTGCAGAGATTTTCAAAGAACTTTCTGCCCTTTTTCTCAGAGGTATGACGCATAACCCTTATTTAAAAGCCTTTCAAAATTTGGGACAGCTCAATTATTTTAGTAACTAAGTTTTCAAACAAAGTTTTATAATCTTGCATTATTTCTTTTTTGACCCTGATGGACCCATATTAGTATATCTCATCAAAGCAAAAAAAAAAACAGCATACTGTTTGCTATGTCTCGGGTTTGTTTTCAGAAGCTCCAAGATATTGATGACTACTACTAGATTGCCTCTTAAAATTTATGTTTACCTGGAGATAGTACCCAAATAAAGATGAAGCATATATATTATATGGATGGAAGGCTTACTAAAAGACATTTAAGATTCAACAGAAATTGTTGTATTAATTTGGTATACAATACTAACCTAAAAAAAGAGCATGTGATTCTGTTTTAAGACTGAACACTTGAGACAAGGACACAAGCACAGACATTGTCAAAAAGAACGAGAGCTGAATAAGTATTGAGGAATTCAGATGCTTGCACAGACTGCCATCTCCAAAACCTTTCTAATTCAAAAACATAACTGAACAATGACACAAATTCAATTTTTATAAAATATTCTAGCTACAGGGCTGCTATCAGGAAGCCAAAGAGATGTAACGCAGGTCAAGAAAATCACATCAAAACCATTACACAACATTCTACCACTAACACTTGATTATATGAGAGAATCAAGTTCAGTACTTTTCACCTTTCCATAGAAAAGGAAAAATTAAAAGGAAAAATGACTGTAACCCAGTGATGCATACTGTCCACTGGAAGATGACAGAAGGAAGCCTAACCCCGGCTCCTGTCCCAGAAACTCTGCTTGCATTTCGCACTGAAATATTATCTAGTGTACTACAGCCCCCGGCAATCCAGGGCCGCTGAAGATGCAAGTACCTGTATTACTTCTCCTGAAAGAATTCAGTGTACATATATTAAAACAATGAGGTGGCTCCCAAATTGTTTTTATCATAATGCAAGTTCTCTGCAGCAACCAGCTGAACGTTACTGGATTTTGGTTTGGTTTTAGTTTTCAGTTTCACATATTGAGAAAGTTATTTGCCAATCTGCAATAATCAGTGATCAGCTATTTAAAATACATTTGGGAACCACTGAGATGTAAAATACAAAGTAGTGATTAGAAGTTAAGTAGCAAAGTATGTGAACATAAGAACAAGCTAGACATCTATTATAAACTATTTCTAAGGCTATTTAGAAGCTGAAAAGAGCATAAAAAATGAATAGTAGAAATCTTATTCAATAAAAGCCATTATAGAAGTTGCACGTGTATTTGGCACATCAGCAATTTGCTTTACCTGTAAGCTTACAATTGCTTTAACTGGATCCAAAACAGAACAATGATCTTCTGATTAACACCCAATGTATTTTGAGTATCACAAAACCGGACCAAAAAAAAAACTTCCTTACAAAAGCTTTGGTCAGATCTCATTTCCATCCCTACAAGTTAATCAATTATTGAATACAGTTTCATCAGGCTGTCTAAAAAGTACACTTCCCATCAAGTGACCAAGACATTCACCAAGCAGTTTTAATGGAACAGAAAAAAAGTTTCACATTTATGACAAGCATGTTCAGGGGCAATTACCATAAAAGCAAGAAAGTCAGGGAAATGTTCTTCATTGAGCTATTTCAGAATACGTATGTATTTTAATCTTCAAAAGATGATGCCTAAATTCACCAGGTTAAAAAGAAACAAAAATCCCTGCCCACTTATTTATTACTGATGGGCATAACAGCACCACAGCAGTGCACTTCTAAGCAGACGTGGCCTTAAGTATGGTACTGCTTTGGCCAATATTACCATAACATCTGCAGCCTTGCCTTGGACCTCATTTTGAAGCACCCCGAAGAGGTGATCCAAGCCTGCTGCAGCTCTCTTCCTTTGCTCCCTCAGGCAAGGCAATGGGGCTGCTGGGGTCCCCCTCCCCTGGCAAGCGCTGCAGTGGGGCAGAACTGCTATGTGTAGGCAGTCCCTGGGGAGTCCTCGCCCACAGAGGGAGTGCCAATACTGGGGGAAATGAGAGGGACCCCAATGTCTGCAACACAGTGATGAACCCCGTGGTGGAGGCTGCAGTGTTAACAGTCCCTCACAGAGTCCCTGTCCTTCCCAGCAACATCACACCCACCAGGGCTGCAGCAGTAACAAGGGTAGAAAGACTGACTGTATTCACAGCCCTGAGACTCCCAGTCCAGCAAAGCGTGCATGTGCATACACACACAGTGATTATTTTTAATCTTAATGTAACTTGTAAATGCACCGCAGAACACTGACTGCCAGACTAAACTGCCCCATCTATGCTACTCTGCCACATCAAAAAGAGGGAAAAAAACAAACAAAAAACCCTCTGCAACTTCCAACGGCTCCAAACTGAGTAAGCTGCTCTTTGTGAGCTTATTAGTATTAATTATCCTAAGCTAATCACAGTAAACAAGCCATAACCTGTCAAGAAGCTCTGCCAAAATAACTTCACGTAATGCTGGACTTCTTGTCAGGAAACAAGATGTGCCCAAGTAATAGTGGAAAGCTATCCTCCACATTCACTGCAAGGAAAGTACAGCTACCACAGCTAACTTGCAACTCAATTCAGTTGTTGCAGAACTTCTTGCTACACCAAACCCTTTGAGTGTCTCAGTCTTTGACACTAGAAGTATCGCACAAGGCAAACTGTCAACACCAGAATTCTGCATTATAATTTACCTAGTTGGGGCTTCTTGTTGCAGGTTTGGTGGGGTTTTTTTCCCCTTTTTGCAGGGCATCGCAGTACCAAAAACCCTTCATATGCTAACCATGTGGATAAGCAACACTCAAATCTGGAAAATGCTATTTCTAAACCAACATGTTGGTGCCATCATTAGTTGGAGTTCACTTGCAGGAATCAAAACACCTCCACTATGAAAATCAGAATTTCTGACTCTGGTGAATGCAAGATATCACGTACCTGGCCATCACTTCCATGATGAATACAAGCTTTCCAAACTTTACACGGCAAAAGTAATAAAAAGCATGTCAATTTGGCATAAACCAGGTTGGCAGATCTACCTATATGTAATACATAGGTAGATACATACAAGTGTCAATATAAACACTCTCACAACAGACATGGAAGCAACTATTCAATATTACCTGCAACAATGAAAATTAAACGCTGTCTTTATGGTTTGTTGGATTCCATGCTGCATTGATCCCATCACCTGCATGGTCATTCTTCGGTATCTTTAACTAGTGGGATTTAAATACCTAAGTAATGTTACTAGTGACCACCACCAATGTCAGCAACATTGAGAAGGACTTTTGGTCCACGTGCAGATGGATTTCCTTGCCTTAAACTAACACAACTACACATATTAGATAGGATGAGAGGAAATGGCCTCAAGTTGCACCAGGGGAGGTTTAGATTGGATATCAGGAAAAATTTCTTTACTGAAAGAGTGGTCAAACACTGGAACAAGCTGCCCAGGGAAGCGGTGGAGTCACCATCCCTGGAGGTGTTCAAAAAAACATGTACATATGGCACTTCGGGACACGGTTTGGTGGGCATGGTGGTGTTAGGTCAACAGTTGGACTTGATGATCTTAGAGGTATTTTCCAACCTAATGATTCTACGATTCTATTAGATAAGCACTAATCATGTTTCAACTTTATTACCTACACACTTGAGAATTACTGTTTTCCAAATTTTGGGGATGGTAGGGGGAGGGAGAGGAAGAAAGGGGGAAGGAAGACTTCAGGAAGAAATAAAACCTCAGTCCTGTGTTACAGTTTATTTCACAGTAAGCCAGGGATCCACATACAACATGGCTAAATGCTTCAGGACGCAAGAAAAATTGACATATATAACACTTGCAAATAATCACAAAAGCTAGTGCTTAATGTAATGATTAAGCATTTACAACATACAAAAAAAACCCAACCCAAAACTCCAAAGTACACTTACTGTACCACCAGAGCTTACTGAAGCTTACTGCTCTGAAGAAAGAAGGCTTGCCTTCTCTTGTTCAGAGCAATCCATGTCATGGAAAACAAAATACGCTACTGATTTCTCAAATATTCATCTCTTACAATATGCAGTATCATGGAAAAGTTTTTCTAAGATTTTGACTGCAGTCATATTCCTGGTGGTGCAGGACTTTTTACAGGAACTGCCCATCTGCCACAATACAGAAAAAGAGCACCA